CCCCAGCTGTGTCCACATGGGCCTCTCTGCCGGAAGCACCAGCTGGGGAGCGGAACAGGGAGCTCCATGTGGTGAGCTATCTTTGAGGACCTACTGAGTTTCAAATCCAGCGCTTCCCCTTGACCAACTGACTTGGAACAAGTTACTTGGCTGTTGATTCTCAATTTTTTCATCTGCAAATGGGGTTTCTCTCCCGTGAACCCCCCCCCCCACCGCCCACCATTCAGTCCCTGTTGTCGCCTGTCTCATGTACTGTTCTGGGATGTTATGTGCCCCTCTGATGGCAGAGCTAGTCAGGTCATGAAGTGTCGGATTTGTTTCCCCTGTGACCCTCTCCTTGTCCTGTCTGGGTTCTGGAGACAACAAAGCCCAACTTCCCAGGGTGCTGCCTCCTCTGGGGCCCCACGGGGTGGGGTCTATGGGATGGCTCCCATGAGCACCTGGGCGCAGAGCCCTGAGCTTCTGCAACCTGCCTTCCCCAGCCCCTGGAGCAGCACGGAGCAGCCCACGGAGGAGCAACCCACGGAGGAGCGGAAGGCACCGGTCCATTCTGGCACCTTCTTAGAAGAACATGGGAGAAATGACAGGCTGGGTGCAGCTCCCTGGGATGGAGGGGGTGCGGGGCCCATGGGGGCACCAGTGTCGGGGGTGGGGGGCAGAAGGGAACAAGGGCTACCAGGCTCTGCAGAAAGCATCACTGCCATGCCTCCCTCCTTGCCAACTCTGGAGAAAGAGAGAGGCACTCTTAGAGGCTGAACTGGCAGGCTTCACAGCTGGCTCCTGTAGTGGGAAGCGAGGGAGGAGTCAAGGGCCAGAGAAAATCAGGAATGGGTGTAACATACCCAGATCTCTAAGCGTTTGAAAGAAGTCTACCAGATCCATAGTGGCTGAGATGTGGTGGAGGATGGTCAAGATGGTTCTGGAGTGATCTATGGGTCACCACTGAGCAAAGATGGCAAGGCCTTAGCGGGGCTGATCATGTGTGCTTTGGCGCCCTCTTCTGGACTGATGTGGTACACGCACACAGGCTTGCCAGGGGGTTTGCCCACATTTTAACACTTCGGTTTTTCTCTTCTCTATGCACCGTCCTTCCTGTAAGTGACACCCTCAAACCCACAGGCACACTTGAGCAATGACATCAGTTGTGGATACCATGAGAGTCACCTCCCAAACACCACGAAGGGAAGGGCTTATTGACACACAATTATCATATTCATCTGATCCTGGGCAAATGTCAATGTTTGTTCATTGAAATTTGACTCCTCCACACTATAAGGAAAAAGAAATAGCTTCTCAACTTGTCTGTGTATCTGACTTTTATTATCGCCTCTTGGGACCCATGTCTGGAGTCCTCAGAAACTCACCTACAACCAAATATCACAAATCTTTGTAGGGATTTGATCATGCAGGGAACCATGAAAATGAGAGGGCCAGAGTCATTCATTCATTCACTCACTCATTCATTCATTCACTCACTCACTCACTCATTCATGCAGTCAGGTTTCCTGAGCACCTCCCTTGTCTGAGCCTGGCACCAAGAACTCCAGAGACAGCTGTGGCGTTGCGCTAGGCACACAGCCTGTGAAATCAGGCAGCCGTGGAGCTGAATCCCAGCTTCGCTTTCAACGAGCTTCGTGACACTGAAGGTTTTTTTGCTCGGTGTTAAATCTCAGTTTTAAGTCTTTGTTTTCTCCTTCCTTGCTAAACCAGCGAGGGATGAAAGCACCTCCTTCCCAATGCTATGGCGAGGACTCAATGAGATCATGTAGTAAAGCTCGGCTCTCGGCCACTGCTGTGCCTGATCCAGGGGTGACCACCAAGTCTGGGAACAGAGGCGAATGCATAATAGCGTGTTGACATCTCATTGCGATACATAATGAAATGATATTGTCTATGTTTCCAGGCTTTATGGCCACCCTATGTCTACCCTGCCTTTGACCAGTTTTCAGCCTAGCCCTGTGGTTATTTATCAAAGAGTGGTCCCTGGACCAGCATCACCATTCTCATCACCTGGAAACCTGTTAGAATTGCACCTATTCAGACCTTCTGAATCAGAAACTCTAGGGGTAGGGCCAGTCTGTTTTAACAAGACTTCCAGGTGATTCCAATGCACATCCAAGTTTGTGAACCACCAACCGAGGGAAAATAACACACATGTAAACAATTACAATACAGGTGGGCTTCCCTAAAGGGATGATGTCATGGGCAGAGTTTTAAAAGGAAAGCAAGTATTCACAGGTGGCCACAAGCCCTGTGAGAGGAGAGATTAGCAGTTGCAAAGGCTGGGAGGCACGAACGGAGGTGTGTTTTGAGGGAGCCACAAATGATCTGGTCTGGCAAACTGGAGCGTATGGGAGGTGAAGTCAGAGGAGAAAGGTAGGAAACCAGATTATGAAGCCCTTTGAAGTGCCTGAGTAAGGAATTTAGATTTTATCCTGTAAAATCTGGATGGAAGCATGAAAGGTGTTTTTTTTTTCCCTCTAGGGGTGGGGAGGGGCAGAGAGAGAGGGGGACTGAGGATCCAAAATGGGCTCTGTGCTGACAGGAAACAGCCCAATGCAAGGCTTGAATTCACGAACCGTGAGATCATGACCTGAGCCAAAGTCAGACGCTTAACTGACTGAGCCACCCAGGCCCCGAAGCATGAAAGGTTTTTCATGCAGAACACTGTGACCAAATCTGCATTGTAGCAAACAAGCACTCGTGCAGCAGTATGGCCTGGAGGCAGGAAGATCAGTCCGGAAACTGCTAGAATGATCTCGGTGAGAGCCCATGTGGGCATGAACTCGGGCTGTGGCCACCGGGTGAAAGATTTAGGAGGAGAATTGCCAGGCAGTGGGGCTTAAGGCTGTCTTGGAGGGGTCTGCTCTGGTGGCGCTTCTTTATTTTTTTTTTTTTAAGTTTATTTATTTTGAGACAGAGAGAGCTCAAGCAGGGGAGCGGCAGAAAGAGGTGGGGAGAGAATCCCAGGCAGGCTCCCCGCGGTCAGCGCAGAGCCCCACACAGGGCTCGAACTCACTAACCATGAGATCATGACCTGAGCTAAAATCAAGAGTCAGTCAGTCACTTAAGCAACTGAGCCACCCAGGTGCCCCTCTGGTCACGCTTCTGAGACAGATGGAACTGGCGTTGGCGAGGAAACGGTGATGAGCTCAGGATGCTCCGGGATGGTAGCCGGAGCAGGAGTTAAGGATGCCTGTGTTGTTGACCTCCCGACATTTCCCATTCATTTATTCCAGCAAAGATCTCGGGTTCCTATCACACTCCAGCAAGGTTCTAGGACACGAGAATCTGCTCTCAGAGCTGACACGGCAGTGGGGAACACCACCGACAGATAAGTAAACACATACAGAATCGACAAACTTCCAGGTAGTGGCGGCCAGTGTGAAGAAAAGTAAGAGGGTCTGAGAGTGCCTGGCTGGTTCAGTCTGCCCAGCATGAGACCCTTGAGATCAGAGTTGTGAGTCTGAGTCCCACTTTGGGCGCAAAGTTTACTTTAAAAAAAAAAAAAAGTGAGAGAATCTAAGGAAGAGCAGAGCAGGACGGCAGTGAGGTAGCGAGGAGAGGTCCCTCTGAGAAGATAACACTCGAGCTAAATGATACGTAGGGGCCAGATGCACAAAAACAGGAGGAAAGTGCTCCCAGGCAGAAGGAACAGCAGATGCAAAAGTCCTGAGGTAAGCATGAACTTGGCTTAATGAAGGAGAAGAAAGATACAAATCACTGTAACTGGCCAGTTATGGGAAACGTGGTCAGAAGGGGTCACGGCCAGGCCACAGCAGGTGGTAAGTGTTCAGGGATGGGTGGGCTGAGGCAATACAGGTGAAAGTACTTAGTAGATGGTCTAAGGCACCAGATCTACGTAAGGCGTATGACTATGGTTTCAGTATTCTTAACTGAAGCAGGGGCTTGGGGTCAATTTCAGGGAGAGAGAAGGCTGTAGAAGCCATGTCCTATATGAACAATTTCCAAAGCAGATACTTTGTCCATTTTGGTTTTTGTTTCAAAAAATGGTTAACAGCCAAGCTGATGTACAGGCTGTGGCTGGTCTCGAGGGAGGGTGGGCGCTCATGATAGATGAATGAAGATTTGGAAGGAGAGCAGGAGGGGGAAGAGGTGAGGAGGGCCCTCCCTCCCCTGACTGGGCAGGGGATGCCTCTGGCGGTGCCACGCCCCAACCGTCTGCACAGCCAGCCCCAGAGACTCCGAGGCCAGACCGGGCACAGGCCTGAGCATGCCAAGCCTCGCCCGTGGGACTGGGGCCAGCGCCCAGGGCCCAGCCTGCCTGGGAGATGCAGAGACCCAGGCCAAGGCAGAGGGAAAGGAGTCCGATTGGGTAGATGGGGACCAGCCCAGCCCAAAGAGCTGTCTTCTCCTTCCGCGGATGCACCTCCGGCTGCTGAGAGCACCGAGTAACCTGGCCCATGGAGGAGCGTGACCAAACCCCAGACAAAACCAGAGCACCGCCCATACGGCTGCCACCTCCGGGGTCACAAATGCTCCATCTAGGAGAGCAAGAGAGCCTGAGTCGGCCTTGCCACCACCACCCAGCGTGCGCTGGTCTGTGTGCCGCACTCACACCTTCCCTCCACCTGCTCCATCCACTTCCTGCCTCTTTCTGGCTTCCTTGTGCTTGGTCTCCCTCCATGGAGTCTTTTGTCCTGCAGGGAGATGTCTAAAGCAGCCGCTTTCCTTTACTTTTTTGAGCCATCCCTGGTCCCCAACACTCCCCCACCCATCCGCACCTGGAAGACATCCCACAATCAACACTAGGTCTCCCCGGCCAACAGAAACACACACGCACCCCATACCGTGCGGTGCGCACCCCCCCCACACACACCTAGCTTTCTCTGCCAGGCCTCCTGGCCATTCACAGACCCCAGCAAGGCCTTCAGTGCAAGAGTGGCCCCTTTAAGCATCTCCCCCCACCCTAGGAAGGCATCAGTGACCAAGAGAGCAGGCCCAACAGCCACACCAGGAAGAAACTCCATCTTACTCACTTGATGAAATACGCAGCTCCCTCCCGGGTAGAATCCATCTCCCAGCCTTTGGGCAGCCCTGTGAGGAGGCAAAACCACAACATGACCCTCTCGTTCTTCTCAGCCTCATACACCTGGTCTGCACTCAGGAGGGATGGGGCCAAGAGAATAAGGAAAATACAGACCAGCCAACAGGGCTCAAACCCACCTATTTCACCCTGTTTCGGTCCATCATCTGCATCGGTCTGTTTCTAGTAAATAAGAAGGGGGATGGCAGCTAAGTGACCAAATGGATCGCTACCTTACAGGGTTTGCTCATCCACTCGACAAGCTCTTTTTGAGCGTGAACTCTGGGCCAAGCCCTGCACTGGCCCCTGGGACACAGGAGTGCACACACACATGGTTCCCCTGGAAGGGTGCTCAGGGCCACCCCACAGTTGCCTCAAGTCACAGAAGCACGAGCCTGATCCAAGGGTGGGTCCCTCACCCCAGTCCTCACAGGTGATCAGACCAGGACTCAAGCCTCCACACCCCAGGCCAAGATCACTACCACCAGCTTCTGCTGCTTCTGGACAAGATGCTGAGAACTTAGGAAATCGGTCCCAGGAAAACAGAAAGACTTAAAAAAAATTTTTTTTTTATTGAACTATAATTGATGTATGACATTATTTTTATTTTTTATGTTTGTTTATTTTTGAGAGAGAGAGACAGAGTGTAAGCAGGGGAGGGGCAGAGAGAGAGGGAGACACAGAATCCGAAGCAGGCTCCAGGCTCTGAGCTGTCAGCACAGAGCCCGATGCGGGGCTTGAACTCACAGACCAGGAGATCATGACCTGAACCAAAGTTGGACGCTTAACCGATGGAGCCACCCAGGCGTCCCGACCTGTAACATTATTAGTTTCAGGTGGACAGGGTAATGATTTGTTATTTGGATACAGTGAGAAACAACCACCACAGGAAGCCTAGTTACTATTTGTCACCATATATAATAGTGACAACTTTTTTTTCTTGTGATGAGAACTTTTAGGATTTACTCTTGGCAAATTTGAAGTATGCACTAACTTCAATATTACTGACTATAGTCACGATGCTGTACATTATGTATTATTTTATAACTGGAAGTTTGTACCTCTTGACCTCCTCCACCCATCCGGCCCCCCACCAGCTCCGCCCCATCCAGCAACCACAGTTCTGTTATCGATGAGTTTTGTTTAGTTTGTTCATCTGTCTTGTTGTACAGATTCCACATAAAAGGGAAATAATGTAGTATTTGTCTTTGTCATTTCACACAGCTCTCTCCTGGTCACCCTTGCTGTCACTAATGGCAGGATTTCATTCTTTTTTATGGCTGAATAGTATTCTATCAGATATATATCCCGGATCTCTTTACCCATTCATCCATCAGTGGACACTTGGGTTGTTTCTACGTCATGATTATTGTTAATAATGCTGCAATCAACACAGGGGTGTGGATATCTCTTCGAATTGGTGCTTTTGTTTTCTTAGAATAAATACCTAGCGGTGGAATTGCCAGATCATACAGCGGTTCTGTTTTATCTTCTGAGGAAGCACCACACTGTTTTCCAGGGCAGCTATACACGTTTGCATTCCCACCAACAGTGCATGAGGGTTCCCTTTTCTCCACACCCTCGCCAATGCTTGTTCCATCCAGTATTTTTGATAACAGCCATTCTGACAGCTGTGCTGTAACATCTCGTTGTGGTTTTGATTGCCCTTCCCTGATGATCTTTTTATGTGTCTATTGGCCATCTATCCATCTTCTTTGGAAGGATGTCTATTCAGGTCCTCTGCCCCTTTTTTGATCAGAACGTGTTTTGTTCTGGGGTGTGTGTGGGGGGGATTGTTTTTGTTTTTGCCATTGAGTTATAGGAGTTCTTTATGTATTTTGTATATTAACCCCTTATCAGATAGATGATGTGCAAATATTTTCTCCCATTCTGTATGTCGCCATTTTGTGGGGGATTTCCTTTGCTGTGGAGTCCCATTTGTTAATTTTTGTCTCTGTTGCGCTTGCCTTTAGAGTCAGCTCCAAAAAAATCAGCACCAAGACCAGTGTCAAGGAGTTTGTTGTCTCCTAGGAGTTTTATGGCTTCAAGTCTTACATTCAAATCTTTCATCCATTTTGAGTTAATTTTTGTGTATGACATAAAATTGTGGTCTAGTTTCATTCTTTTGCATATAGCTGTCCAGTTTTCCCAACACCATTTATTTATTTATTTTTATTTTATTTTATTTATTTATTTTTTTTTACAAATAGTTTATTGTCAAATTAGTTTCTACATAACACTCAGTGCTCATCCCCAAAGTGCCCTCCTTCATGCCCATCCCCCCCTCCCCCCCACATCCATCAGTCCTCAGTTTTTGTCAGCATTCAAGAGTCTCTCATGGTTTGCCTCTCTCCCTTTCCCCCACCATTTCCGCCCTTCTTCTCCCCCTTGTTCCTCCGTCAAGTTCCTCCTAATCCTCCTATACGTGCAAACATATGGTATTTGTCCTTCTCTGCCTGACTTATTTTGCTCAGCATAACACCCTCAAGGTCCATCCATGTTGCTACACATGGCCAGATTTCATTGTTTCTCATTGCCATGTAGTATTCCATGGTATAGATAAACCACATCTTCTTGATCCATTCATCTGTTGATGGACACTTAGGCTCTTTCCATGTCTTAGCTATTGTGGAGAGTGCTGCTATGAACATTGGGGTACATGTGCTCCTATGCCTCAGCATTTCTGTATCCCTTGGGTAAATTCCTAGCAGTGCTATTGCTGGGTCATAAGGGAGTTCTATTGTTAGTTTCCTGAGGAACCTCCACACTGTTTTCCAGAGGGGCTGTACCAGTTTACATTCCCACCAACAGTGCAGGAGGGTGCCCATTTCTCCACATCCTCGCCAGCATCTAGAGTTCTCTGATTTGCTCATTTTAGCCACTCTGACTGGCGTGAGGTGGTATCTCAGTGTGGTTTTGATTTGTATTTCCCTGATGAGGAGCGATGCTGAGCATCGTTTCATGTGTCTGTTGGCCATCTGGATGTCCTCTTTGGAGAAGTGTCTGTTCATGTCTTCTGCCCATTTCTTCACTGGGTTGTTTGTTTTTCGGGTGTGTAGTTTGGTGAGTTCCTTATAGATTCTGGATATTAACCCTTTATCTGATATGTCATTTGCAACTATCTTTTCCCATTCCGTTGGTTGCCTATTAATTTTCTGGGTTGTTTCCTTGGCTGTGCAGAAGCTTTTAATCTTGATGAGGTCCCAACAGTTTATTTTTGCTCTCGATTCCCTTGCTTTTGGGGATGTGTCAAGTAAGAAGTTGCTGCGGTGGAGGTCAAGGAGGCTGTTTCCTGCTTTCTCCTCTAGGGTGTTGATAGTTTCCTGTCTCACGTTCAGGTCCTTTATCCATTTTGAGTTTATTTTTGTGCATGGTGTGAGAAAATGATCTAGTTTCATTCTTCTGCATGTTGCTGTCCAGTTCTCCCAACACCATCTGTTAAAAAGGCTGTCTTTTTTCCATTGGATATTCTTTCCTGCTTTGTCAAAGATCAGTTGGCTGTATACTTTTGGGTCCACTTCTGAGTTCTCAATTCTGTTCCATTGGTCTATGGGTCTGTTTTTGTGCCAATACCATACTGTCTTGAGGATGACAGCTTTGTAGTAGAGGCTGAAGTCTGGGATGGTGATACCTCCTGTTTTGGTTTTATTTTTCAGTATTACTTTCGCTATTCGGGGTCTTTTGTGGTTCCATACAAATTTTTGGATAGTTTGTTCTAGTTTTGAGAAGTATGCTGGTGCAATTTTGATTGGAATTGCATTGAATGTGTAGAGTGCTTTAGGTAGTAATGACATCTTAACTATATTTATTCTTCCTATCCATGAGCATGGAATGTTTTTCCATTTCTTTGTGTCTTCTTCAATTTCCTTCATAAGTTTTCTATAGTTTTCATCATACAGATCTCTTGTATCCTTGGTTAGGTTTATTCCGAGGTATTTTATGGTTTTTTGTGCAATTGTGAAGGGGATCAGTTTCTCGATTTCTCTTTCTGTTGCTTCATTGTTGGTGTATAAAAATGCAACCGATTTCTGTACGTTGATTTTGTACCCTGCAACTTGGCTGAATTCTTGGATCAGTTCTAGTAGGCTTCTGGTTGAGTCTGTCGGGTTTTCGATGTAGAGTATCATGTCATCTGCGAAGAGTGAAAGTTTGACTTCCTCTTTGCCAATTCTGATGCCTTTGATTTCCTTTTGTTGTCTGATGGCTGATGCTAGGACTTCCAGCACTATGTTAAACAACAGTGGTGAGAGTGGACATCCCTGTCGTTTCCCAACACCATTTAAAGAGACTGTCCTGGGGCTCCTGGGTGGCTCAGTCGGTTAAGTGTCTGACTTCGGCTCAGGTCATGATCTTATGGCTCATGAGTTCAAGCCCTGCATCGGGCTCTGCAGTGGCAGTGCAGGGATTTTCTCTTTCTCTCTCTCTCTCTGCCCCTCCCCCACTTGCTCTCTCTCTTTTAATAAATAAATAAACTTTAAAAAAAACTTTAAAGAGAACTTCCTTTCTCTATTTTATATTCTTGTCTCATTTGTCATAAATTAATTGACCATGTATACGTAGGCTTATTTCTGGGCATCTCTGAAATAAATACCATTTGATCATGGTAAATGATACTATTAACTAATGTATTGTTGAAGGCAGTTTGCTAATATTTTGTTGAGAAGTTTCACAACTATGTTCATCAGGAATATTGGCCCATAATTTTCTTTTTGCGTGGTGTCCTTGTCTGGTTTTGGTATGAGGGTCATCCTGGCCTCATAAAATGAGTTTGGAAGCACTCCCTCCTCTTCAATTTTTTTAGAAGAGGTTGAGAAAGATAGGTATTTAAATCTTCTTTGAATGTTTGGTAGAACTTACCAGTGAAGCCATCTGGTCCTGGGCTTTTGTTTGTTGGGAGGTTTTTGATTAGTGATTCAATTTCTTTACCAGTAAAGTCTATTCACATTTACTATTTCTCCATGATTCAGCCTCAGAAGATGGCATGTTTCTAGAAATGGATCCATTTCTTCTAGGTTGTGTAATTTATTAGCATATGATTGTTCATAGCAGTGTCTTATGATCCTTTGTATTTCTGTGGTGTCCCTTGTAACTTCTCTTTCATTTCTGATTTTATTTCTTTGGGCCCTTTCTCTCTTTTTCTTGGTAAGTCTAGCTAAAAGCTTATCAATTTTCTTTTAAAAGAGCCAGCTCTTAGTTCATCTTTTCTATTGTCTTTTGCAGTCTCCATTCCATTTATTTCCACCCTGAGCTTTGTCATTTCCTTCCTTCTACTAACCATGGGCTTTGCTTCTTGTTCTTTTTCTAGTTCCTTTAGGTGTAAAGTTGGTTTGGATATTTGAGATTTTCTTGTTTCTTGAGATAGACCCATATTGCTATGAACTTTCTTCTTGGAGCTGTTTTTGCTGCATCCCATAGATTTTGGTATGTCGTATTTCTGTTTTTATTTCTCTCCAGGTATTTTTTCATTTCTCCTTTGATTTTTTTGTTGACCCATTGGTTGGTTGGTAGCATATAGTGCCCATATATTTGTGATTTTTCTGGTGTTCTTGTAATTGACTTTTAGTTTCATACCATTGTGGTTTGAAAAGATGCTTGACAAGATTTCAGTCTTCTTAAATTTACTGATAGTTGTTTTTTGCCTTAAAATGTGATCTACTTTGGAGAATGTTCCATATGCACTTAAGAAGAACGCGTATTCTGGTCTGGGGTGGAATGTTATGTGTGTAATTATTAAGTTCATTCGATCTAATGTGTCATTTAAGGCTATTTAAGGTCCTTAATGCTTCTTTGTTGATTTTTCTGTCTGGTTTATCTATAGAAAAAAAATTTTAATAGCATCTCTGAAAAAAAAAAAATCCACAGACATGCTCAGAGCGGAGAATCACAGGCTTACAGAGTGAGCAAAAACTGAATAGATGTAGAAGCTGACCACAGCTCGGAGTTGCCCAGGCGATCCCTGCAGGTGGCCCTAAGAGTTGGCTCTATTAGCACTCTATCTCCCAAGAGTGCTCTATTATGTACTGTTTCATCCTACCTGTGCCCCCCACCAAAGCATCCTGCCTCCCTGGCAAACAGGATACCCCCACCCCAAGGCAGAGGAGGGGTCTTTTGAGAAACTCAAGGAAAACCACTGTCCGAGGTGGAGACAGGCAGGGCATCAGTGGAGATCATTTCTTTTGGGCATGCAAGAGCCCTGTGGCTGTAAAATGGGCGTGGGTTCTCTTAACAGATAAGCACTGCCATCAGTCTGGTCAGACCAAACACCTGCCTTGTGTATGAGGTTTTATAAAAATGGCTATTTGCTCTCTGTCTGAATCTCTCCCACCATATTATCAGCTGCCTCAAGGCACAACCTGGTGATGATCAGAGCCTAGATTCTACAGAGCAGCGGGGCCAGTTTGTATCATTCATTTTACTCACCTCTATCTCTCAAGGGTCTATATTACCATGGTTGCTGTTGATGGTGATGCTGCTGCTTCAATGCACTGGGGAAGCCAATGAACCCCATTCCCCTCCCAGGGCTTGGTCCATAGAAATAATAACACCAGCTACCACTTAGTGCTTCCTTCCTCTCAGCTACACACTTGACCACTGTTAGCACACTTAATTTGCACAAAAGCAGTATCTAATAGGCATTGGCTTGAACATTTTTATAGATGAGAAAACTGAGGCCCAGAGAGGTTAATCAACTTGCTTAAGGTCACACAGGAAGTGTCTGGGCCAGGATGTGAGTCTGGTCTCTACTGCCTCCAAAGCTGACATTCTTTCCTCTGTGCTGCTCCATAAATGCTGCTTGTTCCCCTCTGTCCCTTTGGGAGGACGTTCCCATTTGGAAGGGTGTGGGTTGGCAGTCTCCCCAAGTAGAGGGATCCCCATTGGGTCAGAATCATAAATAATCCTGCCACTGTGATGTGCCTGGGAAGGAGGCCAGCGTGGATTATGTCCCCTGCCTTTTCCAGCAACTTCCCTCCACACTGCCCTCTCTGCCCGGGCAACACCAAGAAGTGCTTATATTCCTGTCCAGGCGGAGTGCCCGCTGAGGCAGCTGCCCTCCCAGCGAGCTTCAGGGACATCTTAACCCCTTCCCGTCCTTGGACAACCAGTTGGCCACAGCCCCAAATGAAGTAATTGGCTCATGGGCTTTTATTTGTCTTCTAGTCCTACCTAGGTCATAGTGAGATACTTGGAATCGAATCTTAAACATGGACAGCAGCAAAAACAGCAACCCAGAAGGACATAGCCTGACCTTGGGGTTAGAGGGCCTCACTTCATGTCAGAAATAAAAACAGTGACCATAACAATAGTCATCACCTCCATGACGGTGATTCTCTCGGGTAGCTTTGCTCCAATTTTTGGAGGTTCATGGTTCTATCCCTATTTTACAAATGAAGAAGAGCCAAGTCTCGGAAGATTTAAGCCCCGGGCTCAAGACCACACTAAGAGAAAGTAGAGTCAAGATTTGAGCTCAGGTCTCTCTGCCTCTAGAACTTAATCCTGACACAGCTTTGCTTAGTAGCTGAGTGGCCTTGAGCCAGGTACATCCTCTCTGCTCTTCAATTTCCCTACCCTTAAAAGAAGGAGTTGGGCTCCAGGGTCCCTGAAGTCCCTTCCAGCTCTAACAACACAACGATCCTAACCCAGAATCTAAAAGAAAGTAGGCTCTGGGCAGGCCAACGCCTTCCCTCGAAGTGTCCAGCAGTGCTGGTTGTGTCCCACGAATGACCCAAACTCCTATAGCTACATGACGTGCAGTCAGGGGAAGGGCCGGAAGGCCAGTGGGGGTAGGTTGGTGGTGGCATTCTGAAGAGGAAGATTGCTCGTCCCCTTGAAGGACCCCAGCCGTTCTTATTCTTGGTGTCTCTGCCTCCCCAGTTTAAACTGAAACCCTGCCTGTACGTGTGCCCACTTTCCCACTGGCCTGGGATAGCAAGGGAGTCTGTTCCATAGTAAGCAATCAGTGTGGGGCCCTGTCCCCTTTTCTTTCATGTCCACCAGCCCCCCCCCCCATGTGAAAGTATTCCTACTAGCCATGCAGGGCTATGTAAATTAATTCAAACGTAAAGTTCAGTCCCTCAGCCACACTAATCACATTGCAATTGCTTGGCCACATGTGATTGAAGGTGACTCTGTTGGGGCAGCACAGAGAAAGAACATTTCCATCATGGCACACGGTTCCATGGTACAGCATGGGGTGGGGCTGGGATTCTGCCTAACTCAGGTGCTCCGAGGATGGAGAGGGCTTTCTGACCGGGCTGGGGGATGACTGAAAAGTCAGATCTGTGCTCTCAAAGGTCTGTCCCATATACTAATTATAGAGCTTGAAACTCAGGAAGACCTCAAGGTGAGCATCAACCCTCCTGCACCCTCCCCAGACGTGGTCCGAATGCTAAGCTGAATCCATCCATGCAGCAAAGAAAAAGAATCAAAGTCAGGGCAGGGGATCTATAATGCTGCCTCAGGCCATCGCGTTCTCCTCAATTGCAAAGGCGGGGACAGCCAAGCTCCTTACCTGGGCTGGAGGAGTGTCCGCTCTGGATGGGCGATTCCGTACCAGGGTGCACCCAGCTGGTTGACTTCTCCTCATCGCTACAGAAGACCAATAAAAAAGTGTCAGCTATGAGAGAGGCTTCCCGGAGGAGGACCCGCCTCTCCAAGTTCACCCCAACACTGACTGTCCGATCCCAGACACCTGAGATGGACGAATCCATACAACCATTCATTCATTCACACACACAAAGCATTTATGGAGAAGATGCTGAGGATTCAGAAATAAGTAATATCAGACCCTGCCCTCAAAGAATTTATAACCCACTGGGGAAACACACATATAAAAAAAATAGTTGCAATATAATGTGATAGGAAGTATATCCTATCCCTATCACAGCTACACACAGAGAGCTTTATCCCATCACAGAGGAGGAAGTGCTAACCAGGATGAAATTAAGGAAGGGGAACAGCGTGAAGCCTGCACTAAAGAGACGACATTTGGGGTGATGGGTGAGGTCTCTGGGGAGAAGAGTGGAGGTCCTTAACTGGTGACTTCCCAACGGATACAAAAGGAGGGGGCTAGGTGAACCCAGAGTCCTTGGGTGTCTCAGCACTAAATATTTTCATTTACAACAGCCCCTCACATTAGGAATATTACAGATGATGAATCTGAGGTTCAGAGAAGTTAAGTGACTTGCCCCAAATCATACAATCAATAAGTGATAAGGCCAGGATTCTAATGTCTTCCTCCTGGCAAGGTGGGCTCCCCAAGAGTGCAGATCCTCTGGGTCTAGATCGGAAGGCAGAGGAACCCATCAACATTTCCCAACCCCCACAAACCAAATGATATTCATTTTTCCAGAGCCAGATGTGACCCACATGAGGCACCGGGCTTTCTTGGCCAAGGCCACGTGGAGGAGAGGAGTCTGTATCATCTGTATCACCTGGGCTTTAGGGTGGGTCCTTGGGGCCCAGGACAGGACCCCACTCGCTGCTTTTAAAGCATCCTTAACACTTTAATTAATATAATAAATCCCACTAAGAAGGGTTCCACTAGGGGCGCCTGGGTGGCTTAGTCGGTTAAGCGTCCGACTTTCGCTTAGGTCATGATCTCGCAGTTCGTGGGTTCGAGCCCCGCGTCGGGCTCTGTGCTGACTGCCAGCTCAGAGCCTGGAGCCTGTTTCTGAGTCTGTGTCTCCCTCTCTCTCTGACCCTCCCCTGCTCATGCTGTCTCTCTCTCTCTCTCTCCTAGAAATAAATAAAAATATTAAAAAAAAAAAGAGTTCCACTAAACTTTTATTAAAGATGTACAATGCTGGACATATTTAAAGTGTACAACGTAAAGTTTTGACATATGTATATACCTGTGAAACTATCACCAAAATCGAGATGTGAACCCCCCAAGTTTTCTTTGTGCCCCCTTATAATTCCTCTCTCCTACCCTGTCAGCTCTTTCCACCTGCACTCTCCCCCCAACAACAAATCTGCTTCCTGCTACTAGAGATTAGTTTGCATTTTCTAGAGCTTCTAGAATTTTATATAAATGGAATCATGCAAGCTAGACTTCTTTGACTTCTTCCTTATTTTCTTCCTCCTTCTAGTTTTCCTTCTCTCCCCTTCTTCCCTCCCCGTGGTAGCATGTGTTAATAGTTGATTCCACTTCATTATTGAGTAGCATTCCATTACAGAATAGATCACAGTGTGTCCATCTGCTCACCTGGTAATGGACATTCAGGGTGTTTTCCGGTTGGGCCATTAGAAATAAAGCTACGAACATCGGTGTCTAAGTCTTTGTGAGGACACATGCTTTCTTTTTCACTTGACTCCACTAACATTTCTCTAAGTTTGGACACCTGCTTCAGGAGGGCATTTCCCAGCGGACTCACCCCTCCGATGAGGAGAGAAGAAACAAGGTCACAGTTCTGGTGCCCCCAGGACCTTCGAGCCATTATGCACACTCAGGAGTGCCCTGCGATGCGGGCTTTGGTCCTGGGAGGCCGTGGGAGAGGAAGCCCAGGAAGGGGAAAGGCAGCCTGTGTGAATGTTAGGTGTGCAGGGAAACTCATGCCCTTACACTTCCTCTTCGGCCACCCGCACACTTTCTGGCCTCGATTCCTCTTTTCTCAAATCATCATTCCCTCAGACGACAGGACATCATGGACAATCCCAGGGTCACAGAGGTGGACACAGCCCCACAACCTCAATGTCTTCCCCCTCTCTTTCTTCTTGTATTGTGCTCCCCTTGCCAGCTCCTGGCCTGGAACGATGCAGTCACAGGCTGCCTCCACCCCTGGATTTGGGCTGACAGGGGACTGTAAAACTGGGAGGACCGATGTCACTGCAAACCCACAGTCCCCAAGCTTAGCTGGTCCCTAAGTGCCATCTAGAATCTTCTTCAGGGGCCCCAGCCAGTTGCCATTTGCAGAGCGTCCTAAAGCTTCCCCATCAACCTCAGTTCCCTCACTGCCTCTCCTTCCCTCCCCCCTCCCCATTCTCAATGGATAATCTTATCATTTACTTCAAGAAAAACTAAAAACCATCAGGCAGGAGCTTCGTCAATACGCAGAGCCAGCCACCCCCAAAAGTACCCATATCTCCACCTTAATACTTGTCTCTAGAGGTGCCTGGGTGGCTCAGTCAGTTAGGCGTCCAACTTTGGCTCACGTTATCATCTCATGGTCTCTGGGTTCGAGCCCCACATCAGGCTCTATGCTGACAGCCAAGAGCCTGCTTCAGATTCTGTGTCTCCCTCTTTCTCTGCCCCTCCCCCTGCCTCCCTCTCTCAAAAATAAATACTTTAAAAAATTTAAGAAAATACTTGTCTCTACATTAGGGAGGAAGTGGTCTTCCTCCATTTAAGGCTAATCCCTCTGCCTGCATTATAGTCCCCATCACCTCCTGTCTTTTCTGGAACTTTATTCTATTGAGCATCGCAGGCTTATATCTTCAACTTCTCTCTCCCTCTCGGGTCATCATCTGCTTGGCCGCACTCTGGTCTTTGTCTTCTGGTCTGAACCCTCTGCCTCCCTCTCAATGCCACCTGCCCTTCTATTCTTACTGACACAGGATCCTTTTGGAAACGGGTCCCTTCTAGCTATCCCCATTTCCTGGTCTACCTCTCATCCATCCTTTGCAATCTGGTTTCTGTCCTCAGTCCTTCCCTGAAACCACTTTTCCTAGAAGTCATTACAGACCTGCCTGGTTCCAAAATCCAGTAGCTACTTTCCAGTTTTAAGCTCATTTGGCCTTTCCACTCTTGACCATTCCTTCCTCCTACCATGCTTCTCCTCCTCCTTCTAGGGGAGTGCCCTTCCCTGGCTACCATCTGCAATCCCCAGCCTCTCTTCCTCTCTCCTTTCCTTCTACGCTGCCTGGGTACGCCCATCTTCTTGGTCACACATTTCTGGATGGTTCCACCCCAATGCAATGCCTCCCAGGACTTCTTCTCCAGCCCAGGCTGCTCTCTGTACACCCATTTGCCTGTCAGACATCACCTCCTGAAGGTCCCGTGGGGACTTCAAATTCAATACTTTCACCTGAACCTGTACACCCCCTAAAATCCATTCCTTGTCCCATACTCCTGACCTCTGTCACACTCAAGTTAAAATCTCTGAAATTTGGGGTGCCTGGGTGGCTTAGTCGGTTAAGCGTCCGACTTTCGCTTAGGTCATGATCTCGCGGTTCGTGGGTTCGAGCCCTGCGTCGGGCTCTGTGCTGACTGCCAGCTCAGAGCCTGGAGCCTGTTTCAGAGTCTGTCACTCCCTCTCTCTCTGACCCACCCCTGCTCACGCTGTCTCTCTCTCTCTCTCCTAGAAATAAATAAAACATTAAAAAAAATTAAAATTCTTTCCAAAAAATCTAATAAAAAAAATAAAATAAAATCTCTGAAATTCATCTTTGATGTTTCCTTTTCCCTTTCTTCCCCAACAGTCAGGTGGTAAACGAACACCCTCCTAAAGATTTCTCCTATCTCCCTCCCTCTAAGCTCACCACCTACATCCAGGCCTCATCAGCTGTCTTCTGCACTTCGGCAGTCACCCCTGACTGCTCTCCAAACCCCAAGTTTCTCCCCCTACATCCCCGTTCAAGGGGATCTCAAGTCATCATCTGCCCACACAGCTGCTGGAGGGATCCTTCCAAAGCCCAGGTCTAAGTGTGTCAATCCTCTTAAAAATCTCCTTTGGGGGGTGCCTGGCTGACTCAGTCATAAGAACATGTGACTCTTGATCTCAGGGTCATGAGTTCGAGCCCCATGTTTGGTGTAGAGGTAACGTAAATAAAACAAATAAAAATAAAAGGGTATCTGGGTGGCTCGGTTGGTTAAGCATCCAGCTTTGGCTCAGGTCATGATCTCATGGTTCATGGATTTGTTCCCTGTGTCGGGCTCTGTGCTGACAGCTCAGAGCCTGGAGACTGCTTCGGATTCTCTCCCTTTCTCTCTGCCTCTCTCCCACGTGCTCTCTCTCTCTCTCTCAAAAGTAAATAAACATTTAAGAAAACAATAAAAATAAAAATCTCCTTTGGTTTCTAACCACCTGCAGGACCAAGTTCAAATCCCTTAGCCTAACACACAAGCTGTCTCCACAGCTGTCCTGCCTTCTTATTGGTCCTGGCCCCTCTTCTGCAGCCTCCACTCCATCTCCACTGACACCCTCAGAGTGTTCTAGACAACCTGTGCCCTGGCCCTCATCAGCTCCCTCCTTCCCACAGGCCTCTGCTTCAGGGTCCCTTCCTCCCTGGTCCTCTGCTCCAGAATCAGCTCAATTATTGCCTCCTCCACAAGGCTCTCCCTCCAGAAGACTCTCCCTCCACTCCCCAAAGAACGTCAGTTCTTTTTTCCTTGTGTTCCTGGACCATCATGCAAATACCTCTAGAATATATCCTATTATTTCCCAAGTATTTCTTTGTATTTTCTCCCTATCACCTTCAAGGAAAAACCTGTATCTTATTGGGTTGGTTTTTTTGTTGTTGTTGTTTTTTTTTAATCTCTAATGCCTAGCGGTGTGGCATACAAATAGTGGCTACTTGAATGTTCGTGGATTAAAGTCCAAGAGAAACTGGAAGTCACGCAAGAGTCTGGCAAGAAAGATGAGGAGAGCCAACTTAGCCACTTCACCTGAGGAGCTCCCGAAAATACAGGCGGAGGCCCCGTCCCAGATGTGACTCTCTGGAGGAAGGGCTCAGGAATCCTTTCCTCCATCCGTTCCTTGGGTGGACTCTAAATTGTCAGACCAAAGGGACTCCGGTTTTAATACCAGTGAAGTTCTGTTATTTAAGAATCTGACCCAGGGTCAAGAACTTGAGTGGAGTTAATTTCTAACATAATCTGTTTACAGCATCAATTATGATCATGGTGATGATAATTACAGAAGAAAGGCCTAAAGCAAAGCGTGGAAACGGAGAAGCAAGGAGAAAATCCGCCGGCTTCCTTGGGCTCCTATGAAGGCGGCTGGGTGCTGGGGTGGGGAAGCGGTGCGCTAGAGTCAGCGGGTACTGGGCTTCGTCTGAGCTCTGATTAACAAGTGGTTTTATCTCGAACAAGTACCCTCCATCTCTGTAGACCTCACTTCCTCATCTGAAAAATGACTGGGTTGCAGCCAAGGCTCCCTTTCAGCTCTCATGTTCTGTGAGTGGCTATCTTGAGGAAGAAAAAACCCATCATGTGTAGTAACGGTTCAGAATGCCGTGCTTCTAGACTTGCTACATTATCGGGAGATTTCTATCCTGGCAAAGAACGACTATAGCAGGACCAGGCCAAAGTCGCACCGGCGAGGCCACTCTGTTATAATGAGATTATGCCAGAGCCATTTTGGTTTATGAAATTAATATAACGGTACTAATATATTACTGAGAGCAGCAGAGGCTCCCTCCCTTTAAAGAATGCCAAATGCGCCGTGGGCATCTTCTCCTTCCCCTTGACCACACAGCCCCATAAAGGGAGCAGGAAGGGAGAGGGGCTGCCTTCCTGGCAACACGGAGCCCTGGGATGAGGGACCTCCAGGAGCTGATGGCAGAGGCAGGGTCTCCTGGGGTGATGTCACTGAGCCCAAGTGTTGTGCAGGAAAATCTGGGGTGTGGGCAAGAGAAAGAACATACCCCTGGCCCTTTCAGGGGACGGGCTGAAGGGAAAGATGGACCCACTGGGCACTGGGTCCAGTCATCCTTCTGGGGGTGCCTGCTGCCTCCCCTACCCCACCGGCCATGACTGGGGACTAGCCGCAAAGGCCAGCACCTGCCCTGCCGCGCCCTGCCCTTCCAGAGGAGGACATGCCCAGCCTTAGCTGGACTTTGACCCATTGAGGAAAAGGCGGGAGACACATTCAAACAGACAGTGATAAAACTTATTAGTCATGCCTGCCGTTCCAGCCCCCGCTTCCCCCTACCGCTCAGCCAGCCCCTTGCCCTGCCACCTTCAAGTTGGGCAACTCGAAATAAATAAATAAATAAATAAATAAATAAATAAATAAATAAATAAAGTGAATAAATAAATAAACAAATAAATAAAATAGCAAAATGAGAGAGATCAACGTACTTGATGAAGAAGATTCTCCCACCGCGGTCAACTCCGTAGGTCCACCGGCCGGGCAAGTCCAGCCAGTCAATCTCATCGGCCATCTCGGCGTCCAGAAGCCCCACTCGCTCTGGGCCCCCCGGGGCGCGCGGCCGGCGGGGGCGGGTTGGTGGGAGGGCTTCCTGCCCAGCAGCCCCCACTGTCCTCCAGCAGGCTGGAAGGGGGACGGGGATGGGGAGGGACCCCGCGGGGCGCCGGCCTCTCACTGAAGGCAGCTGGCCGCCGGCCGGCCGGGCAGCGGGGAGCAAGCGAGGCTTAACCCCGGCCGGGCCGGGCTCCCGCTCCAGCCGCCGCCTCCCCGCCCCGAGCCCGCTCCGGACGCCTATTCAACTTAACGCCGCGCGGCCAGCGCCGCAGGGGGTTCCGACGCTCCGTCGCCCGACTGCCGGCCGCCGCGCCGAGCGCTGTCCCCTCCCGCCCGCAGCCGCCCAAGGAGCAGGTTGCCGCGCGCGAGCGAGGGGTGTCGCCTCTCGCTCCCAGCTGCGAACCTGCACTTGAACCGCCGGCCGGCCGAGGGGAGGCGGGGCCGCGCCGCCGCCGCCGCCGCCGCCGCCGCCGCCGCCGCTGCCGCCGCTAAAGGTAATTCACACCCGGGAGGAGGATCGGCTGCAGCCGGCCAGGTCCCCAACCCCAGGCGCGGGGCTCGGGGAACCAGTTCTGCCGAAAGAGCTTTGAATGACGAACCTAGGGGACATGTCCGGCCACTGGACAGAAAAGGGCGAGTGGTCACACCTGGTTCTGCTTGGCGGGAGGGTTAGTGGAAGAGCAAAGGTCAAATGCAGGGAAGGGTGGCACGCACGGGTGTGGGCAGCTAGGGGCCCTGGATGTCAGCCGCATTAGTCAAGCTAGCTCTTATTTTGTTTCTGAGCACTTCCTCCAAGAAGCCTGCCATGACTAAGGAGAATCGGAGTGAGACCTTAGGAACACACTCAGAAAACAACAGCTTTTATGTCCCTTCCCCCTAACTTGCGCGACAAAAGGGAAAGGGAATGGAAAAAAGAAAAAAAAAAAAAGAGGACTGGAATGTGTTCTGTGCATAGAATGCAAGTTGCAAGCACTCAAAAGTGGTGTATCAAAAACAGTATTGCTGGAGCCATACTGTACCTTCTCTGTATCAGAGTCGGGTTTAGTGAGCTTTCCCAGCTTACTCCCGACCAGCCCCTGGGGCTCCGATTAGGGGCACAGCATTCCAATCCAGGTGTTAGACCCAAGGGAATCATTAGACAAAGAGAAAGACACCTGCCGTTAGAGGAAGCACTGTGTTTCATGGCAGCTGGCAGGTATGTGTGGAGTGAACATGCTTATTGCGAACATCCTAAGGGATTTGATCCCTGTTCCGCCTAGGAAATTGTGTCTGCCCATGTGTTACCTCCTCCAGGAAGCCATGCTTGACTCCACCCCGGACAGATTTTCATGTCCGTCCTCTGCCATGAGGCCTTATTAATAACCCTGTAGTGCAACTTATCACACTGTAATGCAATCCTTGATTTACTCATCTGCATGCACCATGGGGCAGGGGCTCATGCGTCTCCACAGTCCTAGCACCAACCAAGGGCACCTAATTAATGTTTGATGGATGATTGATACCGTCATAGCTAGGAGCGACTCTTAACTCTAACCACAGTCCTGTATTTTTGGACCTTATTTGGGGGTCTGCTCAGTATAGCCATCAGCCACATCGAGGTGTGTGTAGAGAGTGTTTTCTGGAAAAAGAAACAGAGAGTGAGCCTTCCCAGGTATCCCAGGGCTCAACCTGGAGGACATAATGTGTATACATCTGATAGATAGTGAAGATAGAAGGTGCCTCAGAGAACATCTAGTCCAATCCTGTTGTTTTAAATGTGGGAAACTGAGGAACTAAGAGGAGAAGAGGCTGATTAAGGTCACTGAGCGAGTGGTGGCAGAAAAGGATCTGCCCACCAATGTCCAGACCCGGACTCTGGCCATTACATCATTTTGCCCCCTACTCTGGAAATTCACTCTGCCAACATATGCACGTTGATTCCTGGATGCCAGGTCAATGCTGAGCCCATTCTACAGATGCAGAGGAGTAGCAGAACATGACACCCAACTTTGCCCTCCCTTCTCAGATCCTATGGATTTCTAGCTGAAAAGCTGCGTTGGAGAGCAAAACAGCTGCCCCCGAGAAGCACAGGTGGGGACCTGTGCCACTAACTTCCTGAATGGGGGAGGTCAGGAGGGTCAGAGATCAGACTCCCCTCCAACTTCAGTCCCCTGTCCCCAGCCCCTAGTCTTGTGAAACACCTGTAAGACTCGTCCTGCTGATCAAGCACAGAGCCACCTCCCCAGCCCCTGTGATATCGAAGGATCTGAACCACCAGAATTATTGCCAAGATGCCCCCAGGGAAAATACCAGCAGCCAGTGCACTCCCAGTCCAACCTGAGCAACCAGTAAGGGCAGCTGCTTGGGTTGAATGTGGGTGGAAATAGGGGATGAAATGACATATATTTGAAAACACGCATACTGCCACTGTCTTCTTTGAGGTGTAGGGGGCTCCTGTTAATTTTTTCACAAGATTTTTGCATTATTTATTTCCAATCTTCCCTGAGGTTCCTTAGAATCTTTACCTAGACACGAAAAGGGTGCTGGTGGAGATTTTGAATTTTTTTTACTCGTGTGAAATAAGCAGTTTTGAAAATACTTTTCCAATTGTGGTATATTGTCACCAGTGACTTTACATTGTAGATCTTGTTTATCAGTTGTGATCAGTATTAAAGCTGCTAAGACAGACATTTTATCAAAGGAGCTAAAAGTAATGCAGAAAAGGAGTAGAAAACTTAAATAAAAACAGCCCTTGTTTCAACAATTACCTGGAAGAGGGCAGGGGGGTTGACACGTTGAAATGAAAACCTTATCGGCCTTGTGGACGAGTTAAAAATTTACTTGTTTGTTTTCCCCTGCAGCAAACTTTATTTTACTTTTTTTTTTTTTAACATTTATTTTTGAGAGACACAGCATGAGCAGGGGAGGGGCAGAGAGAGAGAGAGACAGATAGACAAAATCTGAAGCAGGCTCCAGGCTCTGAGCCATCAACATAGAGCCCAATGTGGGGCCCGAACGCACCAACCGTGAGATCATGACCTGAGCCGAACCCAGACGCTCAACTGACTGAGCCACCCAGGAGCCCCTATTTTACTTTTTTAAAAGGCAACAAAGCATATGGATAAAAAATATCCATAATATTTAGAAATGACTCTGATCCTCTCATATATTTTGAGGCCTTAGATTCATCACATATATATATTATTATGCTTTTCATTTGTTACCGGTGGTAGGTTGAAAAACAGCCCCCCACAGCTGTCCAAGATAAATCCCTGGAATCTATGAATGTGACCTTATTTGAGGAAAAAAGGTCTTTGCAGATGTAATTAAGTTCAGGATCTTGAAGAGATTATCCTGATTACTCAGGTGGCCCCTAAATTCAATGACAAGCATCCTCGGTAGAAAGAGACAGGCAAGGGGAGCTTTGAAACAGACCAAAGGGGAGGAGGCAATGTGACCACGGAGGCAGGGATTGGGGTGATGTGGCCACAAGTCAAAAATATGGCCAGTCACCAGGAGCTGGAAGAGGCAAAGAAGGAATTCTCCCCCTGAGCCTCCAGCCACAGTATGGCCCAGCCGCCATCTTGATTTTGGAATTTGGGCCTCCAGAACTGTGAGAAAATATTTTTGGGTTGCTTTAAGCGCCCCCACCCCAGTTGTGGTGACTTGTTACAGCAGACCTCAGAAATTAATTCAGTTCTTGTAAGAAAGTCTTACTGAGGCCTCAAGAAAATGTCTATTATTCTGACTTCTCCAATATCTAATCTCCTTTCCTCTGTTAATAGCCCCCTGAGTTTTCTTTTGACATTGTCCCTTCTGCCACTCTCAGCCCATGGGGGTTGGATGGGCTGGCCTCACCCCCACACCAGCCCTGCTGGGGGGCACGGACTGGGGCAAGATGTGGCTCATTTGACTCTCTATTCCCCTGGCCATAGTGATTGGCTCAGGAAAGGACACATGACTCAGACCAAATCAATGAGATTTACTTTTTTTTTTTTTAAGTTTATTTATTTATTTTGAGAGGGGGTACAGGAGGGGCAGAGAGAGAGGGTTGGGGAGAATCCCAAGCAAGCTCCATGCTGTTGGCGCAGAGACTGATGCAGGCACTCAAACTCACAAACTGTGAGATCATGACCTGAGCAGAAACCAAGAGGTGGATGCTTAACCGACTGAGCCTCCCAGGTGCCCCAGTGAAATTTACTTTTTTAAAGGACCCCAAAATTCTTAGTTAGAAGCCCTTTTTCTCCCGGATTTGAAGCTGGCAGTGTCATTTGGAGCTCCTGGGATCTTCCTGTGGGAGAGGCCACTGAAGGGAAACCAAAACAGGAGAAAGTAGAGCCAGGGATGAAGAGAGCCCGGGTCCTCCTTACATCCCATGAGCCCTTGGACCCAGCTCACCAGAGGACGCGCTGCCCCGGGGTTTCAACCTGTAGGTGCCCTTCTTTGCTTCAGCCAGTTTGGACTGGGCTTCTGCCCCTAACAACCAAAAGTCCTGACCAATACAAAGGTCACCATGTCTCGTGTTTCTGCTCCTTTGGTGTAAACAATGTTTTTTTAGGGGAAAGCCAATGAGATAACCACCTGCATTTTTTGTGATGCCAAGAGCGAGAATGCTTCTCTTTCAAGAAAACCACACTTTTAGATTAAGAAAACATCGGAGTGATCATCTCATCTGAAGCCCGCATTTCCCTCCTAGAGAGACACAGGAAAACTCAGGAAGAAGCCAGAGTTGTGGCAATTTCACAGTAGAACTGGGACCACGACTCGGGTCTCCTGAAAACCTGATCCACAGAAAGCAAGGTGTCAAGACATTTACTTTATCATGTAAACATATTTGGCAAAAAGACCTACATAGTTACAAGAAGACTATGACAGATTCCTCCGCTCTATAAAGAATAACGACAATAGCACTTTTTTTGAATGCTGGTATTTAATAGTTATGTCCACCTGCAGGCGAGGTCATCTGCCCCTGCTGACTTTCTTTCAGGGACGAAGAAGCAAAGGAAAAGGCAAGGACCATCTCTGCAGGACTAGATACATGATGTGTAAATACACAAAGGCCTAGACAAACTAGTTGTTTATGTTATGCTTCTGTAAGGGTTTGGGGAGAGGAGGTTTTTATGATAAAAACTGCTCTACTAGTGCTGATACCCAGAGGATTAAAGCAGCCTGAGGTTCCCTGCAGCCGACTGCACTGAATTAGTTACTTCACAGGTATTTGCTGAGTACCTTCGGTGGGCCAGGTACTGTGCTAGCTACCAAGGATTTGGGAGTGAATAAAACAGAAAGTCCCTGCTGTCATAGAATTTGTGTTTAATAGATACATAGTCGCAGGTGATGATGAGTCATGGAGGGAAGTTGAGAGAGTAAAGGAGACAGGAATGCACAGGGAGCTGCCGTCTTACACGCCGAATATTCCACACAGAGGGTACTCAGAAAGGCCTCACTGACAAGAATGACACTTGAACAAAGACTTGGAGGAACTGAAAGGAACAACCATGTGGATATTGGGGGAACGTGTTCTAGGCAGAGGAAATATATGCAAAGGCCCTGAGGCAGAAACATCCTTGGAATGTTTGAGAAACAAGGAGGCCGGTGTAGCTGAAACAGAGTGAATGAGGAACAGAACAGGAGATGAGGGAAGCCAGATCATTCAAGGAATTTTGTAAGAAACTTTGCTGGTATCCTAAATGAGATGGAGAGCCACTGGAGGGCTCCCTGTTGGGGTACCATGATCTTCATGGTTTAATGTTTGGGGTTTTTAAATATATTTTTTATTTTATTTTATTTGAGAGAGACAGAGAGAGAGAGAGCGCGCATGCGAACCAGGGAAAGGGGCAGAGGGAGAGAATCTTAGCCAGGCTCCAAGCTCATCATGGAGCCCAGTGCAGGGTTCAATCCC